CGGCAGATGCAGCGCCTAACGGTGGGGGTGAGTGGATAAGTCTCACAACCACTGGCACAAGTGCCGAGAACGGCCCCATTAGCTGCATCCATGTACCCCTTGTGCCTGGCCACAAGTTCCCAGTTGACTGTGGGTAGCAGCACGGCTGGAAAAACCGCTCCCCGATTTATAATAGAATGGGTGCAATAATAATTATAGCGTTTTTCTTAGCCCAATACCGCAAGGTCCAGGTGTGTATATTCCATCTGGCGGAGCATTATCAGCATTATTTGGAGCATTATATTATGGCCTTTTGTGGAGCATTGCTGAGAGCATTATAAAATTATCCCATATTACGGAGCATTATCCGCCAACACCTATTGTTGGACCATCACGCGATCGCCAACACCTACCAATACATTGAAGAGGTAACACCTGTCAATACTGTGTTGATTATACAAGTAGCTGCTTTACGAGGAGTGACTGCTACTCTACAATGATTTCCCGTGAACATGCGTTGACCTTGGATTTTCCATTCATCTTCCCGGATCATTAAAGAAAAGAATTCGGGTGGACACACCCATTCCCATAGCGCTGCACATCACATCCGAACCAGTTCCGTTATTTTTACAACTTTGGGAACGGGTGTGTCCACCCGAATTATTTTCACAGATGAAGCTGCAGGAAGCCTCAGCCCTTCTTCAAACTCGGATCATTAAAATCATGGATTTGTCAATAAAGTTCTTGGAGATGCAAAAAGAATTCTACAAGGAGCTGCAAAATTTTAATAATAATAATTATTCACACTTGCCACGTGATCGTTGCCACGGTTTGAGCCAATCAGAGCGCTCACAGGCTGGGCATGAATCTCTGATCATGCCCTGCCATTCAGGCCCTTGGGCTTGAATGGCACCGTACTGGTCCGTAGGAGAACATGAATGATCACGTGATGGGTATACTCGCACGTGGAGAGACTTACCTGATCGAGGTGGAACAACTCGAGAGAGAAAGAGAGAAAGAAAAAGCCTGATATCCGGTCCATGTCTGATACATGCGGTGGCATTCAGGCCCTTGACCAATCAGCACGTCCCGAGACCGTGTGGAGGTGAAACTGAACACGCCGGCATGAAGGTATAAAAGGAAGAAACCTCTAGGCGTGGTGGTCGGGGACCTGGAGGACTCAGCTTCTGAGTTTCAGGTTGGTACGCTCGAGGGCTTTGTTGATTCAGGCCCGAGAGCGGCCCAAGGCCGCGGGCCGCTCGAGGGCCTGAATCAACAAAGCCCGAGAGCGTACCAACCTGAAACTTCACCTTGCTTGAGATGAAACTTTACCTTGCTTGAGTTGAAACTTCACCTTGCTTGACATGAAACTTCAGAACGAAACTTCAGCCGGAGCGCACGGAGGTGGAACTTCAGCTTCTGAGTTTCAGGTTGGTACGCTCGAGGGCTTTGTTGATTCAGGCCCGAGAGCGGCCCAAGGCCGAAGGCCGCGGGCCGCTCGAGGGCCTGAATCAACAAAGCCCGAGAGCGTACCAACCTGAAACTTCACCTTGCTTGAGATGAAACTTTACCTTGCTTGAGTTGAAACTTCACCTTGCTTGACATGAAACTTCAGAACGAAACTTCAGCCGGAGCGCACGGAGGTGGAACTTCAGCTTCTGAGTTTCAGGTTGGTACGCTCGAGGGCTTTGTTGTGTTCGGCCTTGGGCCGCTCTCGGGCCTGAATCAACAAAGCCCGAGAGCGTACCAACCTGAAACTTCACCTTGCTTGAGATGAAACTTTACCTTGCTTGAGTTGAAACTTCACCTTGCTTGACATGAAACTTCAGAACGAAACTTCAGCCGGAGCGCACGGAGGTGGAACTTCAGCTTGTGAGTTTCTGCCATTGTTGTGCAACGAGTGCCATAAACATGATAAAGGACTTGAGAACTTGGGCAGGCAGGCACTCGGTGTTTCTAGTTGATGTATTTCAAGTTCGATTTATGCAGATTAGTGCAGTACAGTGGCTTTGTTTGCGCTGCTAGCATGCCGCGGGTGCGTTGTAGGTGCACTTGCACTTGCACGTTCTGCTGAGGAGAGCGTTCTGGCTTTCACTTGTGCTGTCGTGCGTGGGTGGCAGTGTGAAACACAATCAGACATGGATGTCAGGGCAGGTATCGTTGATTCCGGCCCTCGAGCGGCCCGCGGCCTTCGGCCTTGGGCCGCTCTCGGGCCTGAATCAACGATACTGCCCTGACATCCATGTCTGATTCTTCAGATTATTATTAGCAAGTAGCATGACAATGCAATGCCGAATGCGGAATGGTGAGTACAGATTTCTGTGTATTAACCCTTTGTCCTTTCGCCCATACTTGAACCGTACACCTGTGTACGGTTCAACCCATGCATGTTCAAAGCGACCTGGAAGCTACGCGGATCACCCGATCCACATGAAAATTCACGTGCACACAGCCTATGCTATGTAGAGGATGATACACGGGTCGCTGGGGCTAGTTGCCATTTGAAAAAATTCAGGAAATCAAAGTCGAAGTTTGCTTGCGCCGTGACTTCCGACATGGCAGCACGCAGGTCGCTTGATGCAGATGAAGCGCTTGTTTGAGGATAGCTGGAGTGACCCAAGCGACAATCCTATGTCCTCTGATGAAGAGAACAAACTGGACGAAGCCTTAGTAGAAGGTGTTGATTCTGATTTAGATGACGACGCGGATTATGATGTCGTAACCGTCGACCCAACTGTCGGACATGTCGACCGTTCCGTTTGAGCGCAGGATCGGCGGAACAGCACTCGCGTGGTGAAGAGAGTGTACCACCGCCGTGTCTTACCCGTCGTGGAGCAGCAGGGTCAGCTAGAATGCCGCAGCACGTGGAGCGGGAGCGTAGTCCGATCCCAGAGAGGTCTAGATCTCCGTCACCTGCGCGCCGTCAAACTCATGGTCGACAGCCGCGCAGAGGAGAGTAGCCGCACGGGGCCGCAATGTCGAGCATGTCGCCACTGGCACTCCTCTGGCTAATGCTCCGTGTTTGCCCAACATGCCAGAGGTGCTACTCCAGGTCATACTTGTACAAATTGCACATTATTATACATAGGAAAGAACTTGAACTTTGAATTTTGCCGATTTTTGCCAAAAAATCATTTTTGATACTTTTGTTTAGCCACGCCTATCTGAGGAACTCAACCCAAACTGCATTTTTAGTTCACAATTAGCATAAGCTTTCAGGAAAACATAAAGTGTACATACAAAATATCAGCTGCTTGGGAATGGTGAGTGGATTTGTTGAAGCAGGTACCCCTCACATACATTTTGGGCAAAAGGACAAAGGGTTAAAGGGGAAGTCCGGTGAAAAATTTAAATTTCAGGGTCGGTAGAGTTTCGGCCGCTGAGTCGAATGGTGTTGGTCCCACGTGTCTCCGACAAAGCGTTCTCGAGATATTTCCGTTTGAAAAACTGAGTTTCGGGGGCTGCGCCATGACGTCATGCGGCCGCGCCACACCCTCTGCAACGTCATAGCGTGCAGCTAGGTCAAAAGGAGTGCGTGTCAGTGCTATTTCAAATGATTTGCCGACTGATATTAGGTGGTGCAAGCGACCCCGAAGACATGTAACTCCTTGTGAGAGTGAGGATACAGCCATGGCTGACCTTCATGAGTTCGGTCTGGGGCTGAGAACCTCGGTAGTCAGCTGAAGGAATGGCCGCGCGGGCCGGTCAAGAGTGAGCGCTACTGAGTTTCCGACTGATGAAGAAGCAGCAGCTATTGCAGACGAGGCTGATGTATTCAGATCGCTGGAGAGCAGGGTCGCCAAAATGGAGAAGAGTGATGCGAGTGCTCTAAATGTTGTTCCATACCGATTAGATTCGCTTAGACTCCAGTAGCCTGCCACATGGTGATGTTTTGGTGCGAACTTGGAATATTTCGGACTACTCAATTGGAGAACAGTGCAGGCTCTTTGAACCACGGGCACGACTCTTCGCTCGCAACGCTATGGAATCTGAAAGTTCTAGGTCCGAGAGCTGTTCGCGGCTGTTTTGTCACTTGTCACGGTTGTGCACTCATCGCTGTAGCATAAAATAATGAGGCGCCGCGGGTGCGGAAAACTAAAATTTTCTTTCTCAAACTCAAAGCACAACCACCCGCACCGGCAAGGAGAAACGCACGTTCTCTGCCTACATGACTGTACAATACGACTGATACGAGTGTAGTACATGACAAGTCCGTGTGTTGACTAGTTTTCTGAGTCTTGTTGTTGTTGTTGTTTGGCTTTATTTAAAGTGGAGTTCCAAAACAGGCCTAAACCTAATGACAATGGTCCCACTGATAATAAGAGAAAAGAAAATATAATAATAAGCGGACAAACAGAACCAAGAAGAAGATACAGCTGTAGTTAGATAACTGATATGAGCACGGCAGCAGGGGAAAAAAAGTCACAACTTGTGTCAGTTGTGACATGAGTTTGTTGACTGCATGCACTACAGCTAGCTAGATAAGACACTGCACGCACTGCATGCACGCAGCGCAGCGCAGAGCGCATAGACCATGATGTAGACGGGCCAACGGAAAAGTCCAACTCGGAAACGGCTAAAATACGGTATAACCTCCAGGTTTACCGAGCTGAAAATCACAGGGTACGTAGTGTTTGTAACACTGAATCGAATGGTCTTGGTCCGAAGAAGCTGCGATAAACGGTTCCCCAATCGAACGCGCTCCGAATATGGCCATTTTTGTACACAACTAGATGGTGTGGCTACCTGGCTGCACGCTGTGACGTCATCACCTGGATCTGGGTGATGCGCGCTCAAACTCGCACATGTTCGATTGGGCGTATCTGACGAACCATAGGCCGCAGCCTCCTCGGACAAAGACCATTCGACTCAGCGCCCCGAACTCTACGGACTGTGAAATTTAAATTTTTCACCGGACTTCCCCTTTAATTTATGGCTAGTAGCACTGAACATGTATGGTGCAAGCACGGCGTCTTGAGCTTGTCCGATTAGATGTTTCAGCTGGCTTTCTGCATCATGACACCAGTCTGCATTATCGTCTATGTTCGATGTACGGCCACACCATCATTGTTGTTGATGAAGGGCTAGTTCAGTAGTTGCATACCTTGTCGAGGAGAAATAGACTAGACGTGAGTCAGTTTCAAAAAATAACACTGTTGATGGTAGATTGTCTACAGACTGTACAGACTAGTGAGTCTAGCGTGGGGGAAGTGCTGTTCCAAGTATTAGTTAGGTCAGGATCAGGTATGGAGCGACCGTCGGAAGACTCGCTTCTACTAGACCTGGGATTGGCTAGAGGTCAAATAGCCTATCTTGGTGTTTTCGCCGTCAGTGAAGACAATCAGGCTGGCGCAGGTGGTGATGCCGCTGTGTTTCGAGTAGAATGGCAAGGAATACCCGTAGCTGCCAAGGTCTTACATCATCTCCTCGTTGAGCCAGGTGTCCAGGGCAGGCGCGAGAAACTAAGACGGTTTGGAGGTGAAGTGTCCACCCTCTCCGGTTTGCACCACCCCAATCTCTGCCAAATATTGGGTGTTGGTGTAACCGCTGATCGCGGCTTGCCAGCTCTGGCAATGGAGCTCCTGGATTCGACTCTGCAGGACTGTAGTGTTGGCGATGGCCGGCTTGACGATGCCACCCTGTTGGGTTTCCTGTCCGACGCAATAGCCGGTGTCCGCTACCTACACAGCAGAAGCCCTCCTATTATTCATCGCGACTTGACCTTGAAAAACATCCTCATCAAAGGCCAAACCGCCAAGGTCTGTGATCTTGGCGTGGCCCGCGCGATTCAAAGGAGTTTTGCTCTTTTGCTGGAAGACCTGACCACTTGCCCCGGCACGATCCTGTACATGCCGCCGGAAGCCTTGAAAGAGCCTGCCGTATATGATCGGTCTCTCGACATATTTTCCTTTGGTGTGCTGTCCCTGAGCGTTTTAGTCGGCGCTAATCCCTCACGAGATCTGCTCGGCGCACCTCGCTCACGGCTGGTTCAGCGCCCTGATGGAACGAGCGAGGAACAAGAGATTGCTGAAGTGGAACGTCGTCGTTCGGCCTTACAACAAGTGCGGAATGGACATCCACTGAAAGCGTCAATTCAGCGTTGTCTCGCTAACCACGCCATTGATCGCCCGACGGCTGCAGAGATGCACACGCAAGTGAAGGAGGTGGCACGTCTCGCCAAAGAGTTGTCTTCGGTGAGTGTCAAGTCGTATTTTTCAACAGGGCAGGGGCGTCGGAAGGAGTTTGACATTGGTGCGGCGAAAGTGTGAGAGGGGGGTTCGGGGGGTTGTCCCCCGGGAAAAAAATTGAAAATTGGGCCTAAAAGGCCATAATTTTAACGCTACAGAATAATATGCGAAATAAGAATATGTATGCTGATGATACACCGCATTGTCGATGTAAAACATGGTACCTGTACAAGAGTCGACAAGCCAACAACAAGGTTGAAATGTAAAAAAAAAAAAAAAAAAAAATTCGAAAATTATTGGTGCGGCTTTGGCCGCACCTGCCGCACTGGTTCCGACGCCCCTGCAGGGTGTTGGGTTTTTGTCCATGTAGATAATTTTAGGTGATTCGATCGATAAGTTTGTAGTAAAGGAGGGATTGATCAGTAACCCAACACATAATCCGTACTCTCTGGCGTATCGGTAATACGTCGTCCAACAAATCAATAATTGACCAGCGCTCTGCAAAAACCGACCTTAGGCCGATTCCACACTATGCCGAAAGTGGCTTTGCCTTGAAGGCATAAAGTGGCTTATAAAGTGAAGCTGCATTCACACCTACAAGTGTCGATCACGGGACTTTGCTTTGAAGGTTAGACTGTGAGGCTTTCCTGTGCTTGATCTAGCAACGGCGGTAGTGGAGAGGCTCTTTGTTGGTCCAAATCCTCGAATATCACCCATTTTCGCATGCCCAATCTTGAAATTAATTTGACCACGCTAGCGCGCGCTGTGTAGGCGGATTCCAGATCATAGGTCGAATATTTGTCAACCTCGCCAACAGGCATTCCAGTGGCAGTTTTCGTTGTGTATGTCTCGTACAGTCCTTTCGCCTTGGTTTTCATGTTGTCGATTTTGGAATGGACGATCGACGCAGTATAGATTGCCTCCTCCCGGAGCTGTTCAGCAAACAAATTCAGCTTGATGGCTATTTCCTCCGGCGTAGCTCCTGCGAACTGTACCGCCCGGAGGTCGCCTCAAATGACCGCTCCAAAGCTCGATCAGCTTGCCCTCAAGCTCCTGGCTAAACATGACCCCAGGCATTGTTGACAGCTCACAACTCACCACAACTGAAAGATGCGACAGGGAACACATTCGGAAAAAATCGAAAGGCTGAAGAAAAGTCAGAAAAGTGTCCTGAAAAGGTAAAAAGTTGCCTTGAAAGAGGGTGCTGGTGTTGCTTTGTAGACAACAAGCACTTTTCACTTTCGCCCGTTTCTCAAAGTGATCGCCATGGCAACTTGCCTGAAAAGTGCCTGAAAAATAGCTTTTTAGACAGGATTTGGTGTAGTGTGGACACCAAATCCTGTCTAAAATAGTAAAAGCCGATTCCACACTACACCAAATCCTGTCTAAAATAGTAAAAGCCATTTTTTTGGACCAACAAAGAGCCTCTCCACCACCGCCGTTGCTTGATCAAGCACAGGAAAGCCTCACAGTCTAACCTTCAAAGCAAAGTCCTGTGATCGACACTTGTAGGTGTGAATGCAGCTTCACTTTATAAGCCACTTTATGCCTTCAAGGCAAAGCCACTTTCGGCGTAGTGTGGAATCGGCCTAAGGAGTAAGGTGCTATTTTGGCGAAATTGAGTTTGTGCTGGATTATTGACCCGTGACCCTTTCTTCAACTTCTGGTGAAGTTTTAGGTGGATTGCATTCATATTCAGCTAGATACATTGACCTTTTCCTACAATTCTTTTAGGAAAAATAGCAAAAATCCGGGATTTTATGCTATATTTTGGAACCAATGCTGTGAGAATTCAAGCAGCATGATTGCAACCAAACTTTGCAGAATACATCTGTATGTCATAATCTTCAAAAGGAAAGGTTTATGATGGCATTGGATCTTCCTGTTGTGGAGATAGACACATTCTATCTCTGTTCTGTGGATGGTGTTGCTTACGAATCTGCTGGAAGATGTATTTGGCTCTGTATGAGGATATGCCAGCCGGTGTGATGGGTAGAGGCAGGTGCAAAGGAGTGAAGAAGCTCGGATCAATGCCGGGTTAAAGGATATTGACAGTCTTATCTTGTACTGGTATTTAGAACATCTAGTTATGTCTTCATCAGCCGCGAACATTGTTTCATAATCGGTGATATCATGGCAGTCTCTTTTCCAAATCTTGCCAAACGTACTGTATACAGCTTTGCCACCAGGCTTTGTGAACGCCTGGTGAACAAGCTTCTTCGTAGTGATACAGACACGTAGGTCGGTACTGGCTTGTTGTGCCCATGTGGAGCTGTAGGTGAAGGGAGGTCATGAACTATAGCATAAGGCTCTATAACATGCTTTAGCTCCACAACATCTTCCACAGGCAGTGCATTCCAGAGTTCATTACCTTCCTGTGTTGGGCTGATTTCACTTGCACTGACAGCAGCCTGCACAGATTTCAGCACCCAGGGCTTGATCCTGGAGGCGTACACAAATACTTCCTGACATGCATGTACATGACTTCCACACCAGCCACCGACTGTACTTCAGCAGTTCAGAGTTGAGCCCCATCTATCACATCTCCCAGCATGCTGGACGCGCTGGGTAGCCTCACCACGTCTCCTGAGCACGTCTAGCTTTCCGCCTACATACAAGCAGCGCTCTGACTTGGTCAGGACCTTGTACCTGCGCTGTGTGCGCTGTAAGTGTAAGCAAAGTTTCAAGTGTCACGCTCTTGAAACAGCACCAGTGCGGAACAACTACAGCCCTTGTCAAACTTGTCGCGCACCTCCTGGATTGTAGACAGTACTTGAACCGATTTTTCTTGGTCTGCACTCTGTTTATTGCCGGCATTGAGGGGCTGGGCTGGTGGCAGAACTGACGTCTGATCGAAATTCTGCTCCGCATCACCGTTCACCTCGATCAGCGTTGCGTCCTGCGATTCCACATCCGACTCTCCTCGGCACTGCTGTCATCAGAACTGTGATTGGATCAGGCCAAAAAATGCCTATTCATCGTGAAGGAGTTCGGATGAAACCTCTGGGGAGAAGCCCACAGCAATTTGAGCTAGCGACCGTCTTCTGCTTCATTCCGCCATGACTCTCACCTTGTGATCTTCAAAAATCGACAGACCGTGACGTTTTGTTCTTTTTCTCGAAAATAATTACGAAGCACCTAAGGCATGTGGTGTGCCGGCCAAGTGCTGTAGGAGTGGGTAGACGCTACGCTTGTGCCGATCCCGAAGAAAGGGGACCTGACCCGATGCGACAACTTGTCGGTAAGGTCCTGGCGAGTCTCATTCAGATGCGACTACAGGGCCTGGCCAGCAGCTTCCTCCCAGAATCACAATGCGGCTTTCAGCGAGGCAGATCCTCCACGGATATAGTATTCAGCGTACGTTAGCTGCTCGAGAAGACCATAAAGCATACAGCCAAGGGCTTCTTCGTGTTCATCCTAAGTTGAATTGACGACGGAAGTTTGTACTCCTTTTGTTTTGTTTTAATTGTTCTTTTTTTCTCCTTCATTTTCTCAGTTTTCCCCACCATGGCTGGTTAAAATCGGCAGCATCACATGTATATTGGCACTATGTCATCGTGATTGTGCAATAACAATAATAAAAAGGGGGTTTGTCAACTGAAAACGGCTCTATTTATTTGCTATTCACTCCTATTCTTTTTATTAATGATGTTGAAAAATAATAATACTTGAAGTAATAATTTTTTGAATTTCTTTATTTAGTGCTCTACTACGCGAAATGTGCTATTATTATTATTATCATTATTATTGTTGAAAAATAATTTTTCAACATCATTAACAAAAAGAATTTTCATCTAAAGAGTGAATAGGAACTAGATAGAGCGGTTGTCAGTTGACAAACCCCCTTTTTATTACAATGCAGTTGCGTGATGTGCACCACTTTCTGAACGAATAATATCAATAATTGAGAAGAAGTCCACACTCAAGTAGCAACGACCCGGCCATTATGGAATCCAATACACCACGCCACCACATTGCGCTCTTGGCCGATCCAAACTCTGCACTCACATCACCATCACCCCAGCGAGGACAATTCCGGTATATAGATTGATATTGACAATGACCCTCCAGACAGCTGTTTCGCTCCTCCTGAGTTCATCAGTGGAGGCATATGATGCTGATTGAAAGAATACTCTATATCAGGAAATTTTCGGACGGAATTTATTTTTGTACGATTTCGCACGCGGCCTCTTTTGTACTAAAATTAATTCCGTACTAAAAATTGTTCATGTGAAACCATGTACACTGTACATGTGTACTGCTTGAGAACACGTGCATTTAGCATGCAGCACTGTCTGAAAATAAAATCCGTATGAAAGGTGGAATTTTGGCTTTGTCCGAAAATATTTCCGTCCGAAAATTTCCTGCTAAACAGTAATACGAATAGACTGATCTTTATAGGGCTAAATTGGTGCAATTGCGCTCATTCTGCATAGAAACGTGGCATACCCTAAGTGAAAAAAGTGACAAAAGTGATAACAAGGTCAGGTGATGACGACACGCGCTCATGGCTGGGACAGGAACATGTAGCACGTGTGAAAAGGGGGGGGGGGCGCAAAAAAACAGCAGTCAGTCTAACACCAGAAAAGTTTGTTATTGCATGTGCCACAAAAACAAAGATACTGCGGCTGACTGTACTTGTCCCATAGTGACGTGACGGGGAACGAACGACGAAGCGAACTGACCGACGCGGCAGACCCTGAGTGTCGTTATCACCTGACCTTGTTATCACTTGTGTCACTTTTATCACTTAGGGTATGCCACGTTTCTATGCAGAATGAGCGCAATTGCGCCAATTTAGCCCTATGAAGATCAGTCTATTCTTATTATTCTTTCATTCTTTCATTCAACATCATATGCCTCCACTGATGAGCTCAGGAGGAGCGAAACAGCTGTCTGGAGGGTCATTGTCAGTATCAATCTACATAACACCGGAATTGTCATCGCTGTGGTGATGGTGATTTGAGTGCAGAGAATGGGTCGGCCAAGAGCGCAATGTGGTGGTGTGGTGTATTGGATTCAATAATAGTAATTGTCCTGAAGAAGACCATCGAATTCGTGCCCCGTGAGTGCCTCCGACACGTACTCTCCTGTGCTGGTGTCCCTCCCCCCATGCTTGCAGTCATCCGATCTTTCCACCATGAGATGTCTGCAGTATTGCGTGTGAGTGGCACAGACATAGATCTGTTTAGCATCACCACCGGCTTGGGGGAAAGACTGCACTATGGCTCCTATCCTCTTCAACATCTTCATGTGGGCAGTAGTCACCAAGTGGCAACAGAGGGTCAGAGGTATTCCTGGCAATGGTTTCGAGTTCAGCTACCACTATGGTGAGGGTCAACTATATCTCAAGGCGCGCCGGGCTGACTCCGCTACCACCGCCCTAGAGGCACAGTCCGCGGACGATTCCTCCCTGTTTGCAACATCGCTCGCTGGTGCTGAGACTGCCTTGGACCTGTTCAACTCGACCGCTTTGGAGTTCGGCCTCACAGTGAGTGCGACCAAAACCTAGTTGTTGGTTGCGGGAGCTGGCGTCACGGCTGCGGCCCAGGCGCCAATGCAAATTGCCGGTGTGGAGATTGAGTATGTGACGGAATTCAAGTACCTGGGGTGCATCATCCACCGTGGCGGCCGATCATCGCAGGATATCAGCGCTCGGGTTGCAATTGCATTCCGGGCTTGTGGTGCTCTGCAGCAAGCTGTTTTCAGGAACAAAAACTTGGATTTGCATAGTAAACGCTGTGTGTTTAATGCATGTGTCCTTTCTCTGTTCCTGTATGGGTCCGAGTGCTGGACGCCGCTGCAGCAGATCCTCCGTCGCATATCTGTTTTCCACATGCGATGCGTGCCGTCGATACTGGGTATCTCACGTCATCGTTGCTGGGATGACCGCATATCCAACAACCAGCTGCTTGAGTGGTGGGGTGACTCCAAAACCATCGTCACAACGGTACGGCAAGGGCGTCTCGAGTGGCTAGGCCATGTCGCTCGCATGGACGACATGCAACCAGGTGCTGTTCGGCACCCTGCCATCTCGTCGCCCGGCACATGGCCCACGTCAACAGTGGAAAGACTGCGCTGTGAAGGACCTCCGCTCAGGAGACCTTGAAGCGGACTGGTACAGAGAAGCCTGTGGCTCTAGCCCAGACTGTAGATTGGCTTGCACCTCGGACGCCCTGGATACCCCTGTACAAGCACCGGTGACTTGCTGCATATGCGCTCGGCACTTTGCACACCAGGGCGACCTCGATAGGCACAAGTGCACGGCTGAAAGGCAGAAGCCGGTTTCGGAGCGGATAGGAGCATGTCAGCGCCCTCGGTGTCACCTTTGGTTCCGGAGCTTCGGTGGCTTGCCTGTGCATCGTTTTTCGGCGGTGGCTTGGCTGCGGGTCGTTTCTCTGCCTCATGCCCAGCACCGGCCGCGTCAGCTGCTGCCACAGTTGATTCTACCGCTCGGAGTTGCTGCAATGCTCACTGTGACATCTGCAATCGTTGTTTCCGCTCAACCCTGGGACGCAACCGACATCGCTGTTCTATGCACAGCCACCGTCCAACGGATGGAAAACGGGACAAGTTTTCGCATATTTGTATCTGCTCTCGCCGGTTCCGACTAGTCTCGCATCTGGAGCGCAATCGGGTGGTGTGCTCTTTCTATCTCTCTGCTGCCCCTCCGGGGCCCACGTGACCCTTGTGGTAGTGGCTCCACATGACAGGACAGGCGTGTGTGTGTATGTGTGTGTGTATGTGTGTGTGTGTGTGTGAGTGTGTGAGTGTGTGTGTGTGTTTGTGTGTGTGCATGTGTATGTGTGTGTGTGTATGTGTGTGTGTGTGTGTGTGTGTGTGTGTGTGTGCTGGTTTGCTGTGTGTGTGTGTGCTGTTGAATGGTGTAATCCCAGCACAAGTTGCTATGGCTTCTGCCGTAGCATTGCTATCATCGCCTCCGGCGATGGGCGTCAAAGGTCAAGGTCAAAGGTGTGTGTGTGTGTGTGTGTGTGTGTGTGTGTGTGTGTGTGTGTGTGTGTGTGTGCGCGTGTGAGCATAACTGCATTTGCATAATGTGTGGTGTTGTTGTGTGGGTATGTTGTGCGGTGTTATTGTGTGAGCATGCATTGTTGTGTGGTGTTGTGTTGTGTTGCTGTGTGGGTATGCTCTTTGCGGTGTTGTTGTGCTTGCTACACTGTGTGTGGTCCCTACAGCCTCATCCTTCCAACGTACCACCAGCAGTTGTACGTCGACTGGACTCAATCTCCGAACAGCTAGCCCAGCAAGCTACATCCATCACTGCATTGTCGGCACGCAGTGATGCGCTAGAGGAGCAGCTTACAGCGGCCATTACCAACAACCAAACCACAACACAACAACAACTGACTGATACACAACAGCAACTTACGGCCATTACCGACAACCAGACAACAGCACAGCAACAACTAACTGCTACTCAACAACAACTTTCAACGGCGATTACCAACAACCATGCTGCTACTCAACAACAACTGACCATGACACAACAACAACTGACTGCTACTCAACAACAACTGACTGCTACTCAACAACAACTGACTGCAACACGTGACCAAGTATCCACAGTTCAAGACGAACAGAGTTCAGCAACGCAACGACTCACTGAACATCTGGAGACCATTGCTCAAAATCAGGAAACGACACAACAACTGACTGCTACTCAACAACAACTGACTGCTACTCAACACACTATACACAACGAACAAACCACCACAAATCACCGATTGCAAACTCTCGCCGACCAGCTGCATGATACAAACCTACAATTTGAAAAGCAAACGACAACACTGACACAGGCTTTCCCCCAGATCACAGCATTGGCCAAAGACGTTTCGTCGGCTTCTGGCCGGCTTTCAACGATGCCTGCTTCCACCCTCCAGGTATGAATTTTTAATCCACTAAATAGAATGCTAGTTCGGCCGCGGTCACACATGAAAAGCTTGCACCGCTTTTGCAGAGGCGGAAAGCGGAACTACCGCAGCCGCTTTGGCGGACCGCACGATGCAGCGGTCACACATACATGTAGACTACTGTGCTCCTCAACGCTCCGCTTTGGTGGAGAGAATGCAAATGCAGCACGTCCTATGAAATTTCAGATGTTCTTGTCCGCGTTGAAGCGACCTTCGCTTGTACAAGTAGAGCTATCGTGGATCGCTGACAGGCTGCTGAATGTCTCCTGTCAAGTACACTCGTGGATTTGGGGCACATTCACTGTGGCCCAGCACGGGTGTATTTGAATATTAGTTTAGTTTACATCAATATCAAATTCAAATAGTTTTATAGCAGGGTGTCGTTGCCTCCTCCATGATCCATCATCAACCCAGCGACTGCGTGGATGCCTGCAGTTGCAGTGAGGGTGTGGCAGAGTATTCTACTACTCCCTGGTTGCAGTCCTAGTGTTGCATACTCTGGTGGACGTATTGCTTGGAGAGAGAAGGAGAGAGTTGGAGATCGTCCGCGATCGGGGCCAATGAGTTGGGAGACGGATTCCCTCACCCATTATCCACTCATAACGATGCAGTATTGTTTGCGAGATCTCCAGAACGTACAGTTCATTGGCAAAGAAGAACAATATGAAAACTGAATACCAAACGGCAACCAAACAACACCAGAACTCAGTGCAGAAGTAGCACACCAAACTCCAAAGCCATCACCATGCAGGTTCCGCCAAAGCGGATCCGCGAAAGCGGAGGCTCCGCTCGCATTTTTTTGGCGTAGCGAAATCCAAACTTTCCGCCAAAGCGTAAGTTACGCCTCCGCCGTTGCCGAGGCAACGGCGGAAGCGTAAGTTACGCTTTGGCGGAACCGCCAAAAAAGGTGCATGTGTGACCGGGGCCTAAAAGGGAAAGTATACCCAACAATAAAATTTTCATCAGGTGTAGTCTTCGGGGTGCTGAGTCGAATGGTCTTGGTCCGAGGAAGCTGAGACGCTCACTTCCTCCTTTATTCTCAATCAAACTCAAGCTCTTCTACCAAAACTGGGTGACTGCGCCCTACTAGATGGGGATTTGTATGCAAAAATACACTAAAAGTGCCGTTTTGTTCTTATAAAAGCATGGATGACCGCAATTGGTCCATATGTTGTAGTCTTTTGGATGCTGAGTCGACTGGTTTTGGTCCGAAAAAGCGGCACTGCAGCGTTCGGCCCTTATTCCCAATCGAACAAGGGTGAGTGAGCGGTCACGTGCTCATGCGTACACTAGTCACCTGGTCACTGTGCCTGCGAGCACAACTTTTACAGCGTCCCTATCACTCGAGCTGAGCCTTTAAACATTTGAGTTGAACCTTGGTGTGCAAGTTGTAGCCTGCAGGCACTGTGTCCAGGCTATTGGTGTATGCATGAGCACGTGACCGCTTACTCACTCGTGCTCGATTAGGCATAAGGGCCTATCGCAGCATCGCAGCCTTTTCAGACCCAACCCAGTCGACACAGCGTCCAAAAGACTACAACCTATGGATCAATCGCGGTCATCCCTGGTTTTATAAGAACGAAACGGTGCTTTTAGTGACTTTTTGAATACAAATCCCCATCTAGTAGTGCGTAGTCACCCAGTTTCGGTGGAAG